AAGTTTAAAGGGGTTCGGGTTCAACAAAAACTTGGCTTCTACAATAAAAATTATTGTAGAATTTTAATTAAGGTTTAGTTTTTTATACCCGTTTCAATTATTAGAAATGGGTATAAAAACTAAACCTTTGAAGAGTTCTTGCTGATTTTACCCTCTTTTTTTGCCCATAATCTGCCTACTAAACCTAAAATTTTGGTTTTTCAAAGAAACTTTTACACTTAACGCCTTCCTGATGATTCCAGTGAAAAATTGTCTATTTTTAGTTTCTATAAAAATTATTATTTAAGTGCTTTAATGTGTGCTTAATACTAATCTGAATGGATTTTATTATTATTATATTTTAATGAAAAACAATTTTTTTCCGCCTACTTTATTAGTATCATCTTTTCTTATGATTCTTCCTTTTTGAAGGTGGGATAATAGGTCATCTCAAAAAACCACAACCAGTTTTTATCCACAACGTTTCAGATTTATTTTAATTCTTAACTGTTATAAATATTAATTATACTTATACAGTCATACTTATACTTATTATACAGTCATTAATATTTTATAACAGTTTATTTAAAAAAAAACTGTTATAAAATATTAATGACTGACGACCACTTTTTTAACCATTGCGTTAACTCACCTGAGGAAGGATTAAAATAAATCCGAACGTTTTGATAAAAAGTGGTTGTGGTTTTTTGAGATGACCTATTATCCCACCTTCAAGAAGGAAGAATCATAAGATTAACTGTTGAGGTCGAAATATAAGAAAACATCGTTATTGTCTTTTCATTTTTATATTTTCACGTTCCAAATTTTCTCAAAAATCAGAAAACATGATAAATTTTCGACTCACCCGATTTACAGGAAACTTGGTTTAGCCTGAAAGATGAAATATTCCACCTTGGAAAGGTTGTTATAACATTGAATTTTGATTAAATCAAAAGGATTTTAGAATCTTCAAGCAAAACACAAGACATCGGAAGCAAAACAATTGTCCACCCCCCTGGAGGCGGTCAAAAATGTCTATTTTTGGTTTGCTATAAAAATTGCTGTCTAGTGATATTTCTATCCATGGATGATATGTAGAAAATATGAAAAAACAAAACAATCGTTTGGAGAAAAATAGGCCAAAAAATTAGTTTTTGAAATAAACCGATTCGGGTTTGTTAAAACACAGTGTAAAACCATTAAATTGCAATTTTCAATCCATTTTTTTTGGTTGGGTACCCGGAGATCAATTTTCTTTTTGTTTCAAATGTTGGTGTTCCAGTGACAATTTCATAGTCTTCTTGATTTCATCAAAATTCAATATTATTACAACCATTGCAAGGTCGAATATTTCTTCTTTCGGACTGTGTCAACAATGTTTAAATTTTGTGCCATGGTAAGTGAGAAAAACAAGGATAAAATCAACATAAACTCCTCAAACGTTTTTTATTTATTTTTTATATTAAGGTTGTAAATTATTTGTTAAGGCCAAGTTTGTGGCATTTTAAAAAAACCTCTCTAAAGTAATTGGTGTGGGTGATTGTAAATATATCAAGAAAATTTGAAGGAATTTGAAATGGAAAAATACAAAAATGATAAAAGATTCAAGTAAAGTAGGCCATTTTTTTTTTAAACAAAAACAATTTGGATTCATATTAAGCACTGTTTAAAGTGCTTAAATACTAATTTTTATAGCAAACCAAAAATAGACATTTTATGACAGGATGTGCCAAGGGTAATTTTTTGTCTCCGATGTATGTTTTTCACTTGAAAATTCATAACTCCTTTGGATTCTTTTAAAATTTGATGTTATTACAATTAGGGCAAAGGAGAACATTTCTTCTTTCAAGCTTCACCAACAAACTTTTTTGGATTTCATCCATTATAAGTGAGAAAAGTAAGGTTTAATTTTTTTCTAACAGTTTCTAATTATTGTAGGAGGAAATAGTGCATTTGGCATTTGGAATGCGAAAACAGACAAATGAAAAGTCAATAATATAGGCCAAATAATTTTTATTAATTAAAAAAAAATTGGATTTGTATTAAAGCAACGCTTAAATCACTTAAATAATAATTTTTTTAGGAAACCAAAAATTGACAGTTTGACTGGATGCATTTTTTTAATCTCTGATATCTTTTTTTTCATTTAAACATTCATAACTCCACTGGATTCCTTCCTAATTTAATGTTATTACAACCGAAGCGAAACAGTGTATTTTTTCTTCCATGCTAGTGTTTAGATTTTATGACATTATAAGTGAGAAAAATCAGGGCTAAACCTCCTCATAAATTTCCATTTTAATTCCAATAAATTAAAATAAGAATAAGAAAATGAAATGGTATGTAAGAAGGTATTAAATGAGGTTAGATATATAAAAAGTTTAAACAGGCAAAAGACAATTTAATTGTCAAAGAAGGTGTACAAAGTTTAATAAAGTTTACCAAAGTACTTAACCTGTACTGAACGTACTTAAATAAACAGTAAAAGCCAGATAATTTATGTGAAAATAAATAAAGGTGATTAATTGATTAGATTTATATATTGTAGGTTTCTCCATTTGTGTAGGTGCAACTACTACTACTTTGATAAAGCAGGGGGTATAAGTCTGATTCATGAAGCAGTGGAAGAAGTGCTTGATCCAATAGAAATCCCTAGTGCTTGACTGAGCATGGTGCCCATCTCTTCACTGACCTGGTTGTAGTTCTGAAGGGCTCTTTCCTAAAATACAAATAATTATTTTTATCTCAACACAATGAGATATTACACGGCATTACTTGAATGAATGGAGCTGCCAAACTAAGTGATGCAGCAATATTCTGGACAATTCTGTTCCTCTGGTCTTCTGTTAGAGAATTCCAGAACATCTGGGCTTGACTAAAGTTGTCATCGTTAGCTGTATTATAGCTGAAAAATTATAAAATGGATTATATTAAACTAGTATAACTATGGAAGATTAAATTAAACCTTTCAACGTTTCCAGATACTGGAAATGGTGCAGGCTTTCCCCATATGTTTCCCTGAGGTCCATTGTAACTATTGGGATAATAGTTTGGTTCACCGCCTTGGTTGTTGTCAGATCGGCTTTTTCCATCTCTCTGCCTGTTTGCAACAGGCAGGCCTCGGTAAGGTCGGTTGATCGGAAGAATTTCATTATTTACACCCAGCCGATACATAAGAGTGTCCGTGTACGAAAACATCCTTCCCTGAATTTAATTTAATGTTAATTGTTGGAATTTATTTTTATAGTTTTATCCTACCTGTAAAATTTTGTCAGGTGAAGTTTCAATCCCTGGAACAAGACGAGCCGGGTCAAATCCGACTTGTTCCACTTGGGCAAAATAATTACTCGGGTTTTGGTTAAGCACTAGTACCCCAGCGGGTTGCAATGGGAATTGACTGGTTGGCCACAACTATAAAATTATTTTGATATAACAAACCTAGATAACACCCTCTTTCAATATCTATTACACCTTTCAAGAGTAATAATTGTAAAATTTCACCTTGGTCACATCAAACGGATTCCAGGAGAAGTTTCTAGCCTGGTCTTGTGTCATTATTTGCAAGCTCAGATTCCAAGATGGGAAATTTCCATTGGCGATGTTATTATAAAGATCCCTTGTCAAGAAATCTGGATCGATACCTGCTAATTGTGTGGCAGTGTTTGGATCCATGAATTCCAACCCTTGGTTTGTCTATAAAATAAACTCCTGTTACTCATTAGAACTAAACAAAACTTTAAACTCACTTACAATAAAGTGAAATTTACAGAAAACATATTCTCCAGTGGTCGTTGTGAGGGAGAATGTGTTTGGTCCAAATCCGTTCATCTGGCGATAACTGGCTGGCAACCCAAGATCAGAAAATACCATTAGACTCATGAATGTTGTTTCTGGCATTAATGAAACAAAATCCCAGAACATGTTGTTGTCCTAAACAAATGATTTGTAATGAAGTGGAACATTTTTTTTATTTAAAAAAAAAAAAAAAACTTACGTGAAGGTTTGTCACTGGATTGCGCTTAACAACATGAATAAAACTCGGGAAGAGCAATGGGTCTCTAATCCAAAAAATGGGTAGATTGAGTCCTACTAGATCCCAGTTGCCATCATTCGTATAAAACTTCACAGCAAAACCTCTTGCATCCCTAATAAACTAAATAATTATTCTGGCCTTATAATGTTCAGAGTTTTGTTACCTGACTGTTTCAGCAGCTCCTGTTTCTCCAGCTACTTGTGAGAATCTGACAGTCACGGGCGTCTGCACTCCGACTTGGGTGAAAATAGTCGCCCTCGTCACGGCAGACAGATCATTCGTTGACAAGAAATAACCCATCGCTCCTGATAAGATTTTTTTAAATTTTATTTCTTAACTAGTATAAATTTGACGAACCTGCGCCTTTGGCGTGCACGACTCTCTCAGGGATTCTCTCTCGGTCAAAGTGTTGGAGTTCATTGAAGAACGTGATGTCCTGTACTAGCATAGGTCCTCTGGGCCCAGCAGTAAGAACGTCAATCACATCATAAACCGGCGCTCCAGAGCTCAGTGTGTAATTTAGAATGTTCTGGGTGAAAAAGATTAAAAAATATTTCATAAGCTACTTCAAAAATTTTTAAACCATGCCTTAGTTACGGAATTAAAAAAGTCCTGTTTAAAATTCAAAAGGTATCTTGACTTACTGTTGTACTTTGTCGAAATGAATCCAATTGAAGGGATGCTGGATTATTCGGCCCATAACCAAGATCGGCTAATAATAAATATATAAGATAAAATTTTAACCAAAGTGGTTACTCGTTTAAAAATAAATTAAGTATAACTAACTTACTGTTTAAATTTTGTGGAGTTTGTCCTGAACAAAAAATTAAATTAAACAATAAAAGAAATATTGTCCGTGTCATGCTGAAAAACAAATATTTTAAAAGTATTTTTTTGTGTGCGGATAATATATAGTGTGACGTGAAGTAGATTGCTATATCTATTTAAATTTCTAGGTTCAAGGAGAGTTAAAGAAAAGATTAGATTCTAAACAAAAAACCTTTAAACATATTTTATATAAGTATTTTATTAGTGGAACAAAATGTATTTTTAACAGTGGTTTCTATGAATTCCCTGGGCTAATAACATCTTTGTGTAGAGAATTGTTTAGACTTTGACCAAACACCGGGTGAATTCTGTTGAAAAGCGAAACCGCTCTTGCCTGCAACAATTTAATAATAAATAATAAGTCTCATCATTCATTGCCACATAAATACCTGTATGTGTGGGTATGTCATGATGAGAGTGCTGGAAAGGCTAGTAACAAGTTCCGACTGCTGGAGAGCATCTAGAGATTCCCAAAATGTTGCCAACTGACTGAAATTGTCCTCGTCTAATGTGTTATATCTTAAAAAAAAAAATGTTACTTCTGATCACAAAACTTTGTTGTAAGGTTTTACCTTGAAACATTCCCTTCAACAGGGAACGGAAATGTTCTTCTTGATAAAGTACGAAGTCCGCTGAAACTATTTGAATAGAAATTTACAGTAGACCATTGGTTTTCTTTGTATTGGGCATAACCATTTCTCTGTTTGTTATTTTCAGGATTGGCAGTCAAGAGAGAAGAAATTTTTCCAGTACGGTACAACTGGGCGTCATGGTAAGCAAATAATCTTCCCTAAAAAATATTATTATTTAAGATAAAGGCAGAGAAAACAATTAAATAATTACCTGTAAAACTTTGTCAATGCTCGGTTGTATACCAGGCACAAGATTAGCCGGATTAAATGCATTACTTTCGACCTCAATAAAATAGTTTCTAGGGTTTTGGTTCAAGACTAGTCTTCCGACAGGTATTTCTGGAATCTCATTGATTGGCCACATCTAACAGTTCAAAATTGAAATATAAATTTTGATAATTTATTAAATCACTAATAAAACCTTCGTGGGGTCGAAAGGGTTCCAGGACATTGAAGACACCTGGTGCTGATTAAGTATCTGAACAGACATGTTCCATGATGGGTAGTTGCCTGTCGCTATCGCATTGTACAAGTCCCTGGCAAAGAAGTCTGGGTCAGTTCCTGCAAGAATGTTTGCTTGTTCGACAGGCATGACCTTCAGCCCTTGATTTGTCTAATAAAAAAAATAAAAAATAAATAATAATAATATTTAGGTATTTACCTTATTTTAATTTTTTTACCGAAAAATGAAATCTACAAAATACAACTGTCCCATTTGCATTCACTAGTTCAAATGTGTTGATGGAAAATGCATCGATGTGACGGAAGCTGGCCGGCAGGCCATAGCCAGTGTTAATGATACTATATTGCAGCAATGTTTCCGGAACGAGGGTGAAAAAATCCCACACTGAATTTGGATCCTGACAAAATGAACTTAATAAATTTGGTTTTTAAACTTTTTTGCTAGTAAATACGTAAAGTGATCCCTCAAGGGATCGGCCTGTTGAACGCTGCGCTGCCCGTCTCCAAAAGCTCAGCTTTCGGTAAAGATTCACGGTAGATCCTTGAGTAGCAATTCCCTTTATAAAATACAAAAAAAAAAAAAAATTGCTTACTGATAAATGAGTCATAGGGTTTCTTGAAGAGGAGTGAATCAGATGTGGGAAACGCAATGGATCTCTTACAAAAAACACTGGTGAATTGTTGCAAAGTAAGTCCCAAATGCCATCGTCTGTGAAAAATTTCATCGCAAAGCCCCTAGTGTCTCTAAAAAAATGTATATATTTACACAAAAATATCCCCTTTTATTAATAATCTCACTTGTCTAATTTACCTTACTGTATCGGATGAAGCAATGTCACCTGTAACTCTAGAAAACCTGGCAGTTACTCGTGTCCTCTTTTGAACTGTAAAAACTTTTGCTTTTGAATACTTTGTTATGTCATTTGTTATAACGAGATATCCAGAAGCACCTAGAATTTATCGGATTATTTCTTAGTTTTATTTTTTTCTTAGCTAAATATTGGGTTGTAAAATAAAGTTTTTTAAATAATCTAATTTTATTGCTGTTTTGAATAGGCATTATTGTTGACGCACTCTCAAAAGTGGTTAGTTAGTTATTTTTCAAATTTGTTTTATTATCGTTATTTTATTTTAGTTATTATTTTATTTATTTATTTTATTTATTTTTAGTTTTATTTTATTTTATTTAGTAATTTTATCAAGTTTTTCATCAGTTTTGTTCGAGGTCTCTTATTTTTGCAAGGTGTTTTACTAATTTAAAAAGGAGAAAAAATCGTGTATTTTCATAATTTTTTCAAATTACCACAAAGAGAAAACTAAGGCTCAAATCACTAGGAAAATTTGTGATGTGTATGGTGATTAACTAGGAGAAAGCACCATCCAAGTAGTTTGCTCAGAAGAGAAAATTTTGGTCTCTGGTCTTCCTTTAACCGTTGATGATCAAACTCAATCTTTTGCTGCAAATACCCCACATTCCCACTACATGAGACATCACAGAGACACTGACATGTCTGATAGAAGCGGTTCAACGTATCTAAGAGCAACTGGAGATGTTTGTCAGAGAGTATATGGGTTCCCTCAAATGTCGACTAAAAAAAATATATTGAACTGCATCTCCATTCTATCCTAAAATGCATTTTTTTTCTTTTCTTTTCATTTATTTTATTAAAAGCCCAACTGCATAAAAGAGTTTTACATTAGGTATACAAATATTTCACGTTTTACAATTTGAGACACCAGATTGACCAATTAGTTTTATCAGAGCATTCACTGTAGGAGAAATTGTTACTTAATAAATATTATAATTTAAAATAAATTGTTATGGCTGTATATCACAGATGTTTTTGCACTATTTACAATTGTTCAGACGTATTGCTTTTTTGCTCCTAGTTTGAAATGGACAGCACCTTTACTTTACTAAATCGAGAATGAAACTTGTATCGCACGTAAATTGTCTCTTGTATAGTCGGGAGTTGTAGTTCTTTGTATATCTGATTGTTCTTCATGTATCACTTGACATTTATTGCCATTCGTGCTATTTTATTTTGTATTGCATCCGCTTTATTTTGGATGAAGACTCTGCTCCCAAATTTTTTACACACACAAAGGAGCACAGGCTTTATTATTAGCATAATTATAAATTAGCATAATGAGTTTGGGCCATATCTTGGTTTTGAGGTTTATAGTAGGATATAGCATACTCAGACAAGCATATCTTTCAGTCACCTTTTTATTTATGTGGTACTTCCAGTTTAGCCTTCTGTCCAGATGTAATCTTAGGCATTTCACAGAGCTGTCAGGAGGATTCCATGAGATGTCATTTCCTTTAGTTTTTACGGCTGGTTTAAAATTATTGACTGGGAATGAAAAGTGGGTTCTTTACAGCCAAATTAAAAAAAAAAGAAAATCCCGGGGGAACATCAGTGACCCACTGTTAGCAACTCGGAAAGCTAGATTAAATCATATTTTATTATGAGATTCTTCCTTTTAACTTTTAACTAACTTTTAATTCAATTGTACACTGCACACAATTGGAGCATTGTTAGCAATTCATGAAAAAAAAAAAAAAAAAAATTGGCGAATGGCAAGTACATTTCCATCAGGATTCCATTTGTTTTTGCAGTCTCGTCAGAAATAGTTGGAGCTTGGCCGGGATGTGCTACTTGACCCATTGCATTAGCCTGACACTGCCCTTTCAGATTTTCACTTATTCTATGCTCTGCAAAACTCTATTAATGGGAAAACTTTATCCTTGTCTGCGGACAAGGATCTCTTGTACAAATTAAAGAGTGCCCTTCAAAATACCCTCTACTTAATCCTCCGCTCTTATTTCACAGAGCAGTTCCTTCAGGTCTGGCAAGGATCACATTGCTCTGAACACTGCTCTCTGACGGGAGTACTGTCGGGCAGTATGCTTAGACCAATCCTTTAGCAGATGTTCCCATTAAACTTACCATCTTTCTTGCATCTTTTGCTGATGGCACAACTGTAATATCCTCTAACCCCGATAGTGCGGTTGCTTCGGAAGATAGGGACATATCACACTCAGATTGGTATAGACAATGGAGAATGAAGATAAATAAAAAGCAAGTTTGTCCATGTCATATTTATACTCTGTAGCTAATCTCATCTCACGATGTACTACGACAATATTCAAATCCCAAAAAATGACTGTGTACGCTACCTCTGGTTCCACCAAGATTTATGCTTAACGTGGAATCAGCAAACGACTGAAACAATAAGACCTAAACAGATGCTACAGTCTACTCTACAAACTTATAGTTTGTATCTATAATCCTATTTATCTAAAATATAATTTCCCATAATCCACAATAATCTCTTCCGTCACCCCAATAGTCTCTATCCAACTAAACCCATCCCTACAATGAAATAAGGCGTCTCAAGGGGAAATGGCCTTGCGACCTCCTTTCTGAGGAATAAATAGTGAAGTGTGGAGGATTAATGTTGATTATTTGCACCCATCAATTTAAATAGGTAAATATATATCATTAAATTACATATTGTAAAAAAAATCACAGATTGTAATAATACATCAAAATAATAATTTAAAAAAAATGCAACAGATAATGGGACAAATTTGTAAATACAGTTTTGATTAAATTTATTTACAACTATTGGAAATTTTCATTGAATTTGCCATAAAAAAGCACTAAACATTGGTAATTTGGTAATCATCATTTCCTTTCACAAACAAATTAGTTAAAATAAAATATACCTGGGCCTTTGGGGTGAACTATACGCTGTGGAATTCTCTCTCTGTTAAGGGACTGAATCTGATCGAACAAAATATTGTCTTGTATTACTAGAGGATCATATTTGTCATAATTTTGAGAGCTAGACAACTCATCTGCTGAAGTGCCTTCATTCGAAAAAGCCACTGGTGGAATCTAAGCATATACAAAACAATAGAAATTGTGTCAGATTAATAATAAAAATTGGAATTGAGATTTACCGAATGAGTTTCATGAGAATGTAACTCAGATGTTCCATTAAGACCTGAGTGAAAATATACTTTAAAATGGGGATTTTTCTGTTAAATAATATACCTACTTTGAGTTGTCAAAGAATCTAATGAAATTAAAATAACTGACACTAAAGATAGATATTTCATAACTTAAAAGTTTAGCAACTGTTTCAAAAAAATAACTAAACCAGAAGAGTTCATTGTCTTTTGTACTAACGTCTATATGTTTTCAATATCTAAAATAGCCTTCATAAATTGTTAGATAAGTCTCCTGACAAAACTGGACTTAAAATATTGCAGAAATTTTGTCTGCAAACAAGTTTTCAAATAGATTATGAATTGATAAATTTTACAAGTGGCAGAGAAAATTTTACTGATTCAACTTCAATTAATTTCTCAGAAAGAGCTCTTGGCTATTATGATTTCTTTGTATAATTTGAAATCTTTATTAATGAAAACAACATACCTTAATTGATTTAATAATCAAAATGCCCTTTTGTTGATGAAAAAGCTTCATTGCCCTCTCGACAGGTGAGAGACCCGTGGTACCCTGCTCATTATGCTGTAACTAGTGAGCATTAATAGTGAAGGTTGCCACTAGTGGTGGAGACCAACCATCCTTGGAAGCAACTACTCTATGGGATTGAAGACACAGGAACACTTTCCCCATTCCAAGCCCATTGACTTTTATGATTGGATGGTTTCTGTAGTGACCACAGTGGTTTCTGTCCCTAGGGGGCAGCCGCTCTAGAATCTCTGCTCTACAATTTTTGGGTTTCATGTGATCCTGCGGTGAATGATGGGTTAGGAACACCAGATATATTTAAAAACTCTGCTTAAGAAACGTAACTCTATGTACTGAACATGCTGGACCATCACCCACACCTACCAATAGTCGGGCTGCTCAAGTGTTGCTGAAAAAGTCATTTGCTATTGAGAAATCCAGAAAATTAGGGACCAAGATTTTATGGGATGGGTGGTGAGCAGGGCATTTCCTATCTTACTCAGTGTAATGAAAAGGGCACGAGTCCCTTTTAAGACATTGCCTGCCCAAAGCCATATCGGTTCTTTGTACAAGCATGGGATCATTTTGCAAGAAGGGAGATTTGCTTCTGCCTACTGTGTTGTGCAATACCGAAGGTCTTCACATAGAGCCTTAAAAAGGCTCTTCCCTGCTTGGCCCTTCTGCTGGGCTGGGTCGGCAGACCGCCTGACCAGCATCACAGCCAAAGCTATTCCTGTTTGATAAAGAAGGCAGATCTATCGAAACCCCGTATGGAGGCGCACCTCTAATGTAGGTACTTCCTAAGTGATATAGGGGTGGGAAGGGATATCAGCATTGGGCCGATAACGCTACCCTGAGGGACTCCCACAAGGGTAAGTGAGAGTGTGAGGGATTCGACCTTAAAAAAAAAACCTGTTGGCCAGGTAGGATTGAAGAATGAGATAGTGTGTATAGGGTATGATGCCCTTCAATTTCCAGAGCAAACCCAGGTGCTAGAATTGATCGAAAGCCTGTTTGACATTGAATTCCTTCTCAAGGAGGATGCGATGATGCCCACAATGCAATGATTCTATTGTTTTTCCTTTACTGAAAAGTTTTAAAGTGCTTTGGAGAAGTTTAGCAATTTTAATATTACACAATTTAAAATAAATAAACAAGTAAATGAAAGTGGTCAACAAAAATATATATTTATATAATATATTACATCACAAATTCAAAAATGAAGGGGAAGGGGATGCAAGGAGAATTGTCGAAAGGTTTTTCTTTGATTTTTTTAGAAACATTCTGAACAGAAAACTGAAAGAAATAAACAATAAATAAATTGAATATGTAAACATTTTCTTACATGATTTGCTTTCATAAAATTTGTGAGTTACTACACTGTTTATAAAAATAATTGTATAAAACAACAACAATAAAAAATATGAATATTTAAGAATTTTGCCTTAGGATTTAAACAGGGAAAAACTCATTTATGAACACAATGTTATTGAACAAAAAATAAATTAATTAATTAAACAAAAATCAATCAAAGTAGAGGAAATGAAAATTGAATGAATAAAATACATCAAATATGCACACAAATAATCACAACCTAAAATTAACCGTTTTACATAACTCCGAACCTTTTTTGTTTTCTTTTAAGTGATCTTAGAAAGAATCACACTAATAATAAAAAATTGCACAATTAGAAATCTAATCAGTCTTATAGAAGGACAACCTAAGTTAAAGAATGCAGTTCTTTAAAATTGCACAGCCATTTCTTTAATTTGTTTTCACATAAAGTGAATAATGAACAATAAAAAAAACATCATCGTGGATATCGTCTGAAATCCTCCTTAATCGTCCAGTAGCCCTTTTTATCAGGAGCTCGGAAAAATACCGCTATTTTAGAAAGAATCGACTTGAAAATGGCATTTTTTTCATAACCCACTTTGGACGCAAACTCATTAACTATCTAAAAATAAAAAAATAAAAGGAATTATAACAAGTTTGTTAAAGCAACATATTTTTAAAAAAATACTCACCGAATCTGTTGAGACAGTTCCACCCTGAGTACACATCCACTCGATGATATTTTTTACCAGAACCGTCTCTGGGGTGCGATTTTCAACTTCCAAATTTCTTTTATTTATTGAAGAATATATTGGATTCTTACTGTCGATTCCATTCATTGGCCTTTAAAAATCACATAAATTTAAACTTAGAAACAGCAAAAGACAGAAATTTACATTAGTATGAGTTTAGTCAATAACAGTATTATGATTTAAACTAAAACTAACTCCATGCAACAAAGCATATGACATTTGACAACGTACATGAACCCAAAAGGCCAACATTTTCTCACAACCTATCACTACATCTAAAAACACTGAAAACACTAAGGCATCGAGTAACCTAGTATCATTCACCCCTCAGATTAACTGTCCCATTTAAATCCACAACCAATATTCAAGATATAAAGAGACATTGACCACTGAAGACAACTCATGGATTTCGATTAAGAAAATACTAAAACAGAAAAAAGTCCCACCCTCTCCAACGAACAGACAGATAGATCTTGGGGCTAATCTGATGAGAATACAGTACACTATCAAAAATATTCATTCCATACCCTGATGATTCAGACCACTCCATCAATATTACCAAAGGACATGCATCTCTACTTCCGCCAATACCCCTTTCCTACCAATGAAGACAAACCGGCCATGTATAAATTCAAAATTGGGCATTCCCATCTAAAGGGAAAAACTTTTATGTCTCCTGCAGATGCACCTCTTTAGATCCAGACTGATTCAGGGCTTCATTTTGGGTCCATGCTGTTCATTATATTCTTCACCAACCCGTCGTCATATAAATTCTACAAGCTTACACTGTATGCAGACGACCAGGCATTACTAACAACTTGTTCATGCTGGCATTCCTCAGGGCTCCATATTGGAGCCCATGCTTATCATCGTATTCTTCAATACCTTGCTGACATACAAAAACTGCATTATATGCAGATGACCTGGCTATACTGACAGCATGCCCATGCTGGTGTACTACAGGGCTCCATATTGGGGCCTGTGCTGTTTATCGCATTCTTCAATACCTTCCCTTTTTTTTTGCTTGTATGCAGACGACCTAGCTGTAATGAAAACATGTAGCCAAATCACAAATTCCAAATGCTTAATGAAGCTACAGCTAAAACAGCCATGCACTGCAGAAAATAAAAGCTTAACATAAACCCAATAAAAAATGAAGATATCTTATTTACCAAACACAGATCACTATTCAATTCATGGTCTGAATGCACTACCTGAGCCTAGTAATGAATAAAAAATTAATGTTCACCTGCCACATACAAAGCAGATTAGAAAAAGGCAGCCATCAGATTTCTCTAGTTTGTTGACAAGATAAGCACTGGTAACAAAAAGCTTTTGTACAAGATAAGCACTAATAACAGAAAGCTTTTGTACAAGATAAGCAAGCACTAATAACAAAAAGCTTTTGTACATGACAGTTGGACCTTTGCATCTCATCAGCCCTACCCACATTAGGATGATGTTACAGGTGTAACAGATCAAATCCCAAAAGTTCATCACAACAGCCCAAGGTGGAGTTAAGTAGAGAACTTCCACCTGAGAGCTGGATGGAAAATGATAAAATCCAAGGTACGACCTTGCATTGCAAAGTCAAAACCATCCTTATAGAAGTTTCCTTCTCCTCGAACTGTACAATTCAATATGATTTAAAGACAAGCAAACTCTCCCTTTTAGTAAATGTATCTTGCATGAACGTTAACAAAGTATGCTCATTGCCTCAACATACTTTTTCAAATTTCAAGTGAAGTTGTAAATAAATAAAAATTTACTTACAGAGGTGTTAGAAAAGTCAATTTCCTTGGCTGAATTACTCTCACACTAGATTCTCTAAGTTTCTTCAAAGCTTCTTGGGCCACTTTGTCTGCTTCCGCTTCTACAAGGGCATAATCACTCGGTCCTCCTTCCATTATAGCATCATGCCTCATGGCGCTTTCAACTCCCGATTTTGAAAACAGTTTGTGAAGAACGTATTCATCTTGTGTTAGAGTTCTTGCGATTTTTTGTTTTTTAACGGATTTACATTTTACCAGATGCGGTACAACATGACCTTCAAAAGAGCCGCCATTTTTATATTTCTTCTTCTTTTTCTTTCTGCTTTCAGTCTCCAAAGCCGGTTTAACATCGTCGGTGTCATTTTTCTTCTTGTCTTCTTGGCTTGTGTTTATATCTGTTAAGACTAGATTTCCATCTGGTCCGTATATAAGCATCTGTTTACTTGTTGATGGAATCGCTTGTGCATCGCAACTCGAAGATAGCTGTTTATTCAAATTTTCATCTTCCTTGTTACTTTCATCAAGTTTATTCTCGGCCTGATTTTGGCTAATAGTTATTTTCTTGCTCAGTTCTTGAGCCAGCTTTTTCATCTCCTCAATTTTTGAGGCAGAAAATGATGGTTGAGGAATAACAACAGCATCTTTCAGTTTACCTGGAGGTTTTTTTGGTAACTCCACCTAAAACAGTATACATATTATGGCATTGAAACGTGAAAATAATGTTGGTAAAGTACCTCAGAGCCAATCCCGGCAAAAATTGCCGCTGTTTCACTCGTCCCACCACTGACGGTTTCAGCAAGCGTAAACAGCTCTAAAAGATCATTAGACTTGAAAAATCTCCTCTGTCTTGGATCTTTCAAAACTTTATTGCTTAAAAACTGCTTGAATATTTGTCTATGGTATATCTTAAAAAATAAATAAATACTCAAGTAAAATAAAATAAAGTTTAATAAGTGAAACGGACTTTTTCTTCTATTGTTCCAGTAGTGATGAATCTATAAATGGTGACGTCTCTTTGTTGTCCTATCCTCCATGCGCGTTCCCTCGCTTGAGTATCAGTAGCAGGATTCCAGTCTGGATCGTAAATTATCACTCTATTGGCTCCAGTAAGGTTCACTCCAAGCCCCCCGACTTTAGTGGTCAAGAGCATAACAAAATAACTGGTGTCCTGTAAATAAAAATGATAAAATACGAAACAACAAGAAGCAAAATATGTACCTGGTTGAATTTATCAATCAGCGGCTGCCTTGAAGCAATGCTCGTCCCACCGTCAAGTTTTAAGTACTGGTATTTTTGTGTTTTAATGTAATCCTCTAAAATACGTAGCATCTAAAGGAATAACATTATAATAAAAATAATTAATTGAAATAATTAACAGACCACTAAACATAAATAGATTAATATATTATAATAAAATATAATTTTGTTCATTTTAATGTAACACTGATTAAAAAAAGCTGAAAAGCAAAATTCCCTTGATAAAAGTTAATAATCAACAGAAGTATTAAAAAGAGAGTTGATTGGTAGTATGAGACAGCACATACAAAGGAGTAAACGCGATCCGAAGCAAATGCTATTAATTTTGATGTACGATGTACGTAGGGATAGTCAGGGTGTATATTATGAGTGAATAAATTAATTGGTATGAATGTGGTGTGAAAGGTCCGATTTTTGGAATATTGACCCATCAACACTCAATTAGATACCATAGAGATAAACGAGGCAGCCCTAAGACCTTCTGCACCTCGACCGAGTAGATCTATTGTGCTCCACTCTTTTATAACTCACTGTAGATTGTTAGGCAACTTCCATAGCCTTGCCTGCGGTCCTTAGTGTAAGATCTTGCTTTTACTCTCCTAATTGCACATAGACCCTCACAAAAACATAAAACGTGTTTTGCGGTCTCCTCTTCTTTCTGGCAATATCTGCACAGTGTTTCTTTGGTCTGTACTCCTATCCGGTGCATGTCTTTCTTGGGTGGCAGTGCTCTGTCAGGGGTCCAACCAGAATCCTGGTTCTGGTGCAGTTAGCTTTCAGTAGTTTCTTTGTAAGTCTTACAGATGACCCTTATATCTCTTCACATGCCTTGTGCTTGGGGCTCCACCATGTCTTGGTCAGTAAGTATCCAGTTTTGGATGGATCCTTTTTTTGTGGTAAGTTGCGAGACCACAATAGGCATAAAGAATACATGGCTCCTATTTTGGCCAACTATCCACTCTCCCGAATGCCCAGGGACTTGTGCCAGGAATTCCATACAATTACATACGCTTTTTGCCTTTACCTCATATGAGGCCTTGCCACCTGACTCGGATAAAATGGTTATCTTCCAGAAACGTATTCCTACCCTTTTTATTTCTTTTGCATGTTCAATTGTTAATATTTTAAAGTCAGTTCAGTCATCGGATTCACCCTGAGGACTCCAGCTCCTCTGCCTCTATATGTTTTTGAGCCATCAGTATACCAGGAGGAATTGGTCTTCCGGGGACTTGGTCTAACTCTTCCCTTTCTGGTATATGTACTTTGTACTTGCTGGTGAAGTTGTATTTAGAAGTAATGACATTAATTGGCATGACAGCTTTATCTCCGCCCTCAATTTTTGCTGTCCAGTAATGTGGTCTATCCTTACAGACAGTCGCCCATTTATGAGTCTATGAGCCACTGCTCTTGCTTCTCATTGGATTAAAATATAGAAGGGTTATTTAGCAACACCTCCAAGGCTGCAGTTGGTGTTGTTCTCATGGCTCTGGTGACACTCAAACAAGACAATAACAACTTGATCGCCTTAGCCTGCAAAGTCATAGTCCCATGACAAATATGTCAACATTGGTCTTATGATGCAAGTAGAGCCATAGAGTTATTTTGGGGTTTAGTCCTCAGCTTTCAGCACAGAGCCTTCTGCACCTAAGATAATTTTAACTAGGTGTGATTTCCACAGTCCAGTGTGGACCCTTGATATTTGGCTTTCTTGGAGAATGGAATGTTGTCCCTTTTAGACTTAGAATTTTTAGGCTTCCCACCCTCTTTCTTGTAAATGTTACCATTAAGGTTTTATGAAGGTTAATAGATAGTTCCTCCTTTACACCACCTGTCCTCCAGGTTAAAAGCTCATTGTACTGGATAATTAGTTGTTTAGTATATGTACAGGTCGAGGAATATTGAGTATTCCATCATCCTACCATCTCTAACCATCCCTACTTGAGTGAATAGAATGTAAACAGGAAAAAATGAATTTAAGAGTGAGAGAGAGTAAGAGTGGGTTTAGATTTTAAACTGAAAAGCTTGGGGCTGAAATAACCTAGTCATTGACTGGATGGAGCCTAACTGGATGGATCAAACAAAAGACTCTGGACTGCCAAAACCCAAGGTGGAAAATTCTTAGGTATTGGCAGGTTGTGAGAAGTCTTGATTTAATTTGATTCTGTATTTTGTATGCATGTACATGCAGAAATTGGGCTTTTATAAATCCATGATAAACATTAATATTACTATCAAAAGCAGTAGGATCCAACTTAAGTGACCACTTCTGTAGTAAGTAAGATCACAGAAATTTCGGGTTCATGGAGCTGCTGGGATTTTTTTTTTTTGCTTTGTCCATAATTCCGTGATATCGGATATCCCACCAGCAAAACCTGTGTGGGCTGTCTGAGCCCACCGCCAAAGGGATGCCCGGAGTGCCCCCTTTTATAGCTCATGTTTTGATCTTAGAGAACTCCGCCCTTTCTTGCAGGTGCATTGTGAGGATGTGGATAAAAACCTCTTACATCGTCCACATCCTCCCCGCAGACTAGCTCAATTCACCCTGAGCACTCCTTCCTTCCCCCTCCCCCTGACAACCACCCAGCCGGCAGAACCCCCGACACTTCCTCTATGGTTTACAGACCATTTTATATGTCAAGTCCGAGATTTTGTAGCAGATGAAAAATAATATCTTTACCAGACGCCAACAGACTTTCAAAACAAAACTTAATCACCTCCCTCTGTTCGAAGATTTCGCTTAAAAGGCCAACTTTGGTTGTTTTGAATTCTATACAGAAAAATACTATATGCTTCATGGTTTCACATTCGTCACACGTAGAACAATTTGGAGATGGTCTAAGGGGATTTTTAGAAGGAACTGCAATAATCTTTTAATGTTAAATTAACACTTACCTTTTTACTTTGGGTGAAAATTAAAACCCTATGGTTTTGCTGAAACCATATTTTCAATAATTTATGAATTACTATCATTTTTCCAGCCCTTTTATAATAGCCGAAGCAATTTTCTGGTTTCTGGTTGTTAGCATCCTCGTCCTAAAAATGACCAAAAGCATGGTCAGTTTTGACAGATGAATCTAGTTATATATTACTATACCAGTCTAAAGTCTTTATTTGGCCCGCCAGAATACAGATCGGGATGGTTACAGATCTTTCTCAAGTTTATAAGGCCGACAAATATTTTGACCCTGCCTCTGACTATTCCCTCGATATCTAAGGTGCTTAGATAGTGCTTATAATACGCCCTTTGTTCATCTGTGAGTTTACAGAAGAGGACTTGCTCTGTTTTCGGAGGCAGGTGGACGTGTTGATCTACCTCTGCTTTCATCCTTCTTAGAAGGTAAGGCGATATCGTCTCCTTCAATATAGACGCACACTTGTACGCTGTCTTGATCTGGACCTGAGTGGCATTCATGTAGCCTCCTTGTACTATCGGGACTTGAAACGAGGCAATAAACACGTTGAGCGTTCCAAGCTTTCCAGGGTAGACAAAATCAAATAAAGACCACAATTCCCTGAGGTTGTTCTGAAGTGGTGATCCTGAAAGGATTATTCTATGCGGCGTCAAAACCTGCTTGGCTACAAGTGTCGCCTAAAATAACATATTTATTTTATCAAATCAATTTCAAAAATGAATATACTGGATTACTTGTGCGTTATGATTCCTGATTTTGTGCCCTTCATCAAGTACAATGTAGTGCCAATTTTTAGATAATATTTTTTCTTTATAAAGGACTAGCCCATTGTAACTAGTTATTAAAATTCCACAGCAAATGTTGTGGATAGAATCTATCAGTTTATTCTTATTCTTTCCTGCAAAAAAAGATAATATTAATTTTTTTTAAGAAGATGACAGACAAATCCATTTTTTAAATAAATTTTTAAAATTAATTTTTTTTTTCTATGTGTACAAAATAAATATACATTGAGTTAATAGTATATTTATATACAAATCTGACAGACCAGGAAGCAGCGGGGAGAGAAAACAGCAAATGCTGGAACTTTCTTTTATTTAATTGGGAGGGTTAAATTAGGACACCATGCTGTTTTAAAAGGCATATAAGATTATAAGGATGGGATGTTGAGGAAAGAGTTTGAGCTAGTGAAGGGTGGAGGATAGTTCAGAGCAGAAATTAAGGAAGCGTGTTCAGATAAGAGCCTTCATGGATGGGATTTTATGGTCTTTATGGATCATTTGATTGGTGACATAGGCGGGAGCATTGAAAGGATTGTAATCGTTGGATGTTGGAAAATGTGACCATGACCCACAATTTGACTCTGTAAATCCGAATAGGGTGATAAGTGTTTTATAAGTGATTTTGTTATTTAAGTTTAGTGATGAATTTGGTCGTAGGAAGTATGAGCATATTTTGTATCATTTGTTAAGTTCTTGTCATTTTAATCTCGTACGGGGGTTCCATTTAAGTCCGCTATCTAAGTAAAACTCAAGTAGCGGACTAAGTTTGATGTTACCTTGTTTTTGTGCACTGGAGGGCAGGCTTGACATTTGAGTGTAAATATTGTTGACTTTTTTGCTCATTCATTCATCTGCCATTGACTGCACTCGGTAATGAGATGTTGGATTGCTCCTGTAGCCAGAATAAAATTGAAGTGTGTAGATAAGATTGTCGTGTTTATATGTTTGGATGTTTAGGTATGTCAACAGTTTAGATGGTGTGGAGGAATAGATCTAGGATACTTCTTACAGCCAGCTTTGATTGGAGTGATGGGTTAAAAATTGGTGGTTACTTTAAACCATCATCAGATCATGAGTATCATGATAAGATGGCTTGGAGGATAAGACAATAGATGAACGGCATGTTGGATTTATTTAAAAACGTTTAAAAAAGTTTGAAATTGAGAACAAATTGAATTGATTTTTAATGATCGAAAATATTAAATTTTAAGTTTAACTCTTAACTTGGCAATGCATCCTATTTAATACAAGGCAAATTTTCTTTTTCAAAACATGACAACTCTTCCAATTTAAAATGTGGCTGTTGCTCCTTCTTGGTGAGGGTTTTTTAAATCAAACTACATATCAGTTTTCACTACATTCCTGCAACATCCGTAACCTAACCATCCCAAACCAGCTAAGCTGAGGGCTATATGATTTATTTGCTGACTTTGAGAAGATGGAAAATCAAAGCTAACATTGAAGGCCTAGAGTAGGAAGATCCTGAAGCTATTGAAACCATTTTTCCAATAAATTACAATTTTTATTTTGCCAAGTTAACAGCTAATTTTGTGAAGTTAAGACTTTACAATATTTATATGAAAAGATGCTTACCCAAGTAAGTACCCGTTTCGTGTAGTATAGCTACGCGGACTGGAGGAAGCCATTTGTGGAGTTCTCTAACCCAATGGTGCATCAAAGTGGTTGGACAGACTATGAGAATCGGGCCTAAACCCTTATAGCTTAAAAGAAGAAAAAAGTGACAAAAATATTATTTAAAAAATAATTTTAATTTTTTGTCATTACTCAGTATCAAAATCAACTATGTTAGAAATGTATAGGCCTGAAAAGAAGGCGATGAGCTGAATCGTCTTTCCAAGGCCCATCTCGTCTCCGAGAATACCACCACAACGTTCTTTATTCAGACCCCAAAACCAGGCAACTGCGTCTTGCTGATATCTGTAATATTAAAATATGAAATTGACTGGTTCTTTGGGATGAAGTGATTATTTAAAAGCAAATATGTAGATGTACTTGTATAATTTGTCCCAAACAACCGATGGACACCTGTATTGCTCTCCTTCATTGACAATGTGGAATTTCTTGAATATATCTTTGTTGAATTTACTAACCCTTTTCTCAAAAATCTCCAAATTTCCGTCATCTTGTTCTCGTGTCTCTGAGTTCGCATATAAAATATTATTATATATCAAATATGCAATGTGATCATCCTAAAAAGATTTCTTTTATTATGATTACTTTTTCTATTTTTCGATTCATTATCAGATGCCCATTCGGAATCATCACTGCTTAAATCCATCTCTGATGAATTGACTTTGCATTTCGCAGGCTTGGCTCTGGTTGTAATGTAATCATCTACAAAATTGAAATTTTATTAATTCGAAAGTGCAATCGCCTAAGGGAAAAGAATTACTTTATAATTAAATTTCCCAGGTTTTTCAAAAGTTATTTCTTCTCCTTGTATCAAAGAAACTCTACTTTAAATCAATTTTTCTTCACTGTATCATTGAAATATTATCAAATTATTGACATATAAAAAACTTTAACCTGCTACAGTTTGATGAACAGTGAAATTTTTACAATATAATAAAATCCAAGTAAAAAAAATTAGGTTGACACAAAAATGTCTGACTATATAGAAATGAGAATCACAGTTGTCTAGTATGGTTGTTGTATCTATCTACCTTCAGAGTCTTCACTGGATGATGGAAAATATTCAGAACCGGAACTATTTCTATATTTACGGTCAATCTCACAAGGCTGAACAGAATGATCTGGTTCGATAACCAGTGTAGGCGATTTTGCTTTCTTCTTTTTCTTAATTTTGACTGGAAATTTACTATTTAAAATTTTATCCTTTGCTTGTTCCCCTTTTGTAGGTTTTGCGACTTTCACTATTGCTGAGCTGAAGTTCTTTTTTGGAAAATTTTTAATCATTTTTATCTGGTCTTTTTGCATTCTTGCCTGATCTTGTAGGTATTTATTAAAACTGTCCAGCTCTCCATTTCTGCTTTGAACAGAAGACACATTTCAATTTTTTTTTTAAGCACAATTTTATTATATAATTTTTTACCTTTTGATATTTTTAGTCGTGATTTTATTGGTGGTCAGTAGTTTTCTGAGTTTTGAGGGAGGCTCACCATCATCATCATCATCGAAACACTCACCCTCTTCGATATCATTTTCTTGAATAGCCTTTTCGACTTGTGCAATTATTCCTTTTTCGAGGGTATTCGAATCATACACATCTAAATCTAATGCCTGAAGCTCTGAAGCCTGAAAGAGAGTATTTATTTTCTCGTGAGCAAAATTGTTGAGAAGAAAAAGTACAACAAAAATATCCAACAGTATTTAAGGTTTTAGAAGGATTGTTCAGCACTTCTGCATTAACATTATAAGCCTGTGCATTTAGCACCTTTACGCAGAGAACTTGTTAAAACTTGAAAATTGTAGTTCAAAATGTCACTGTATTCCATAGATTGACTGATGAAATTTTTATTTCAAACTGGAAAATTCCATCGATTTTGGTAAAATATGCAAATGGCTAAAAATAAAACAAAGAAAGGTGGATGAACTACTATGAAAAATCACCAGCATCACATTAACAATACATTGGATGTACACTGACACTGTCATCAATTGAGGAATTGACAATTTATCGGACAGTGGAAAAAAAGCACCTAACAAATGTTGACCATACCAAAATTTTTGACATAAAACGACTGACATGGTTAAAACTATCTCTGACTTATCAGAGAAAATGAGGAGACTTTGAAAAACCATTCAACATAAGGGGGCTTAATAGAAAAAATGAAAAGAAAAAATAAGATAAACTTGGACCTTTCTATGATGTACACATTGCTCAAAAATGGGTATGGGAATAAAGGGTTGTAACTATGAGCACTATATGGCCCTCGACCACACCACAACTCTCTTTCAAGCCATTGGGCATGAAGTAAATATCCAACATCTCAAGTGCGTGCAACAAAAGTAGTAATTCCTCTAGACTCTCCACGTATACGAGATCAACTCAAAACTCATCTGGAACTAAGCTGTACAAATAGACTAAATCTAAGGAGGGTTCCATTTTATAAGAGAATTTCAGGCAATGTGGCAGCAGATATATTGCATGACTTGTAACTGGGATAACAAGATCAAAATATTCTCCCAGCTCAGAATGGGTCCATAAAAACCAAAAGGAGAAGTGTATGACTCCAGAGGTGCCAGACACAGTAAACCCATGATTAAACTAGCACTTGTAGCACTTTGTTAAAGTTAGATAGGGTAAAACTCGGGAGAATGATAGGGCTACATACAAGTCACTGACATTAGAGAAAACACTTAAAATGTATATATTCAAATGTCACCATTTGTAGGTTGGTGTAGGGGAAGAAACTGACATACATATTATCTTGTATGTCATGAATATAGTGTTATTAGTTCATTGATGAACATAATGGATCAAAAAATTATTCATACATTCTGCTTTTTCGCATTTTCATCTTTAATTTTATTTAACTAAAGCCCAGACAGTTCAGTAATACATTTTATTCTTGGCATGCATTCTATGAGGTTTAAGGGTCTCTTGAGGTATTTGAGGAATATATATATTTTTTTTTTTACATTTTCCTTTTTATCATGGAACATGAATTTTCAATTTGGCTTATTGAACCCAATACTGACTGAGGACTGATTGGTGACTGTGGAAGTGTTTGGTAGTTAAGCCATTTGTCTGTTATTCTGGTTGAATGTTTGGGATTATTGGCCATGGTTATTTGGTTGGTTATTGTCTTGGAACAACTAAATGTTCTGTATCCCCAACTTCTGTGTGCTGATGGTGGGGTATTTCCATATACCTTTTAGCATTCAGATCGCGTTTGATGACTGCTAATATATGTACTTTTTAGCACTTATAGAACCCCACACCAACAGACTTCCTTCCTGTCCTCCGTGCTTCAGAGCCATATGCCTTTTCTAAGTCTATAAACTCCAGCAGGAAGTATTTACTTTTCGGTAACATATTTTTCATAATTTGGCACAGACAAATGATGTTGTCGATACAACGATTTACTGGTCTTGAATCATGCCTGGTTTTTTTAATTTTTAGCCTGATTGAACTTCCAATTTATTTGGAATTAAGACTCCCAAAACCTTTTTTCAAAAAATAAATGTAATAGCTAGGAGAAATTCCATTCACTTAATCTTCATGAGCTGTTTTATTAAATAAGTTCCACTGGTATTCCTCCAGGTCCTGGGGGGGCTTTGCCTTTTTTCTTCAGTGCATTTTCTATTTCTGTGATTTCTTCATATGCATTGGCTCGCCTTTTCAGTAAAGCATTTGGTGAAGTACTCTGGTCATTTAGAAATATCAATTATGCTTTCCTCATTTAGCTATTTCCATCAATTTTCCTGAGGAATTTCCAGATTTCTATCGAATGACTTCCTCTGATAAATGAGTCCAAGTGCCTGGATTTTCCGATAAAATAAAACCAAAGAAGAAAATCCAAAAAAACAAAGAGTATGAATATTTTTTGACCCGTTGTAAATAAATAAAACAAAGGCTAATTAATTATTGACAAAAAATGTAATTGGATTAAGTTATGAACTCATTCCTTAATTAATGTTAAAAGAAGAAAACAAAAGAGCAATATTATAGATACCAGTTGGTTCTCATGGACGGATTCTATGGCAGAAACGTCAATCTTGAACTTTAAGTGCTTTTCCCTGGAAGCGTCCGCCAACGGTGCGGTTGGTTTCGCTTCGTCCATCTCGAAAGATTCCGCCAACGTCTTTCGCACATCCAAAGCAAAGAAGCCTACCAGGAGACGAACGTTTGAAACTGAGAGGCACTGTCAGTTATCACTAGTGACTTTTGTTAGGTATAACAGTCGGAGGGAGGTTACAAAAGCTCGAAGCCCTTTGACTAGTAGTGTACGAGTTTAGTTGATTACTAAGAAACAATCTCGAAAGAAATAAATCGACCAGTTATGACTGAAATAAAACGATACCAACGTTATCGAGAAAATTATAAATTTTGTGAGATTCCTTGAAGTTTGCGAGATGATGACCCCGCAGTTAATCATGGTCCGTTTGACCTCGCTGTTTTGGTCTATTGTCTTACGCCATTAGCAGTGGGTGGTTATGTGATCTTTGATTTGGTCGGTCCCTTTCATAGGCTGTCTTTGTCTTTCGGCTTATACAAATAATTGTAGTTAGGTTGAATCTTGGGAGAAACTATACTATATGTTGCATCTGTACGAGACATTAAATCAATTTTTAAACGTTTTTTAAACGACCACGTCGGCTGTTGAAAGTGCGATTAGTTCGTGCTGTTAAGTGTACTTTTGCTGCTTGTAGCTGGCTTAGTTTCTGGGCTTTTTGGTGGTCCTGATGGCCTGCTAGCTCATGTGAGATGTGCGATGCTGTTGAAGTCTATGTTGGGAGTAGTTGAACCGGATGATGTTCCGAAGGGCCTCGTGTAGCTGTCAGCCACATTGGCTGTCAGAGAGCGATGGGTGTGTTGAAAGACTCCTAGATGTTTGTAGTTGGTTTGTGGCTTGCTCTATGAGATATTGTCAATGAGTCTACTCTAAGCTGGTTGAGCTTCTGCTTGTGTATAGCGGTGCTAGAAGCTCATTAGATGTTGCTTAGAAGGCGAAACATTGCTCAAGCACTGGCTCCCCCGAAAGGTGGAGTCTGCCCAACCAGCATACTAATGAATTGAATAGTGGTGTGTTCTTTGAAGCTCCCCGAATAGTCACTAGCTTCTGTCAAATTTGACCCCTTATAAGTTGCTAAGAGCCAATCTTAGTCAATACCGTTTCATAGGTATTTGGGTTTGTTACGATCTACTCTGCCTGCTCCCAAGTTTCATGCTGCAGACTAGCTACCACTTGGTGAAAATTATTGAACGTAGGGTCTCGCGCAGCTGTCAGCCCCGTGCGGTGGGAGCGACTGTGAAGTGGGCATAAAGATATGGCGGTGTAGACGACTTGGCTAACCACTAGGTCTAGGTCCAATAGAAAACTATTGGCTAACACTCGAGAACGTTCCGACAAGTACGGCAGGGAGGACCCAGGGTGGAGAAGGTCTGTTGCCAGCTCGAGTACCGTTATCGATGCCATCCCTACTGAAGCGTATTCCTGGGGAGTCACTTTCTAGTCTGAAGTCGCTCGTACACTCTTCCGTACTATCTTAGTATAGACCACCAAGCGGATTTCCCAGTTTGGCCAGGAACCAATCCGCATAGCAGGGGGTAAACTGCTCTCTCTAAAGTTAAGTCGGCACCACCCGAGCTCGCGACACTGGGGCTTGTTCTAAACGCGCCAGAGACCGCCCAGAAGCCCTGTTAGTAGAGCCTAACCAGCTTCTGCAGGCGCGCTTTTTAGGTTGAAGGATAGGACATGCAACCGTAAAACAAGGTTGAGCACAGCAACGCGTCAGACATTTTCAGGATTCATTTTTCTTATGTTTAAGTAAAAGGTTCGTTTTTTCTCCACTTTCCCTAAAGCATCAGCAGTATCAAATAATGTCCTTGCTAGATTTTGATAAAGGTCAGTAGGAATGAAATGAAATTAGATTAAAATGGAACCAGCTAAAATAAGTAAGGGGGACAATGATTCGCCTTTTATTAAGCCCTTAGTTATAGGTACATCCTCGTCAATTATTTTTTGTTTACTTCAACTACTTCAGATCGAAATTCGCTGGTGAGTAGAAGGACTACTGTATCAATTGTTTTGAACCAATGTTTGTTACCCAATGTAATCTTTCAATCATATTGTGTAACGATTGTTTTGTTTACATCCGAGAATAATCAAATATACTCCGCTTAAATTGATTTGGAGGCTCCGTGCTATTTGCACTTTATAAATGGCGATTCCTCGTGTGTAAAAATTAACACATTTGTACTTTATCGCCGAATAGGGCTAAGGATGGTTACAAGGCTTTCTGAACCTCGACCTAAATAGATCTTTTTTACTCCACTAATTTTATAAATCACAGGCTAGCTTCAGGTTGTTAATCAATTTCCACAGCTTGCCAGCGGGTCTTTAGTGTAGAGTTTTGCTTGCGGAATTTCCTCTTTTAGTTGCAAGAATCCACACATACAAATACACTCACAGAAACATACGTGTTATGCAGTTTCCTCTTATTCCGTCTTATTCTTTCTGTACTTCAATTTAGTGCATATGCCTTCTTAGGCGGCAGTAACCTGTCAGGAGACCAACCAGAATCCTGGTTCTGCTGAGGTTACCTTCAAGTAATTCTTTTTAAGTCTGCGGGGACGGCCCTTCTATTAATTTCTTCGCGTGCTTCATGCCAGAGGTTCCAGGTTTTGGACTAATTAAGGATCCGTTTTTGCATGTATCCTTTTTTGTGGCAAGGACACAGTAGCCAATGAGATTCGCTCGTTTTTGGCCAACATATCCGCAATCTCATTGCTTTTATGTCCCGAATGCCCAGGGGCCCGTGTCAGGGTCAAGTCATTGACTTATGTCAAGAATCCCGTACAAGTCCAGCTTTTATCTCCCACGAAGCTAAGGCCTTAAGTCCTGACTGTCGGAAAAAAATCGCCTGGAACGTGTTCCTTTTTATTTCCCTTGCGTAGTGTTCAATTGCTATAATTTCAAACTGGAAAAATGTACCGTATCTGCCTAAGTTTAAAGTCAGATCATTCTTCGGATTTACCCCGTATCTCTCTAATCGTTTTTGAGTTGTCAGTATACCAGTAGGACGAATTGACCTATTGAAGTATTCCTTTTGCCTACTCTTTCTGGCATTAGTACCTTGTACTTGTTGGTTAAGTATTTGGTATCGAATGGCACACCTAGAATAGCATCTGCCTGTATCTCCTCCCCCAGTTTCTATTGTTCATTGACATAGCCTACTCATTTATGAGCCTGTGATCTGCTATTATGACTTCTACTTGGATGAGAATACGGAGACTCCAAAGCTGCAGTTGGTGTTGAACTCATTATGCAATATTTGAATTGAAGAAGGAAAAACTTGTTCCGTTTAAATAATTTGTTTGCTGAGTTTCTACTATTTATGCTTTTTTCGGTGAGAGTAAACATTTTATAAGTTTGTTTATATAGGGAGATCAACCAAGCTTGTTAATCCAGGTGGACCGACTCTTTTGAAATAATCCTCAGGAACGACGCAAACAGGCGACAGGAACGGTCGAGATTAGAAGGGGGAGAGGACGTTTAACAACTTGGCAATTCCCTCTTGGCACAATTCTCACGGCACCTGTGTGACAACCGTTCTAGAGAAAAGATCTTTCCGGCCAGAGGCAATTTACCTCCAGATGCCCCTGCGCCCTAAACATATTTAGTCGAGGCGCTAGGGAATCTGGCAACATTTCCATTAATGGAGGGCCGGGACCTGGGCCTCGTTCCTTGAATTAACAGGCATCACCCTGACATTTCCTTACAAAGTTCACAGGCCTCTTGGGACCTCTAGTGTTTCAGAATGTTAATTCTTCCTTCCAATGATTACTTATGCATGAGAACTTTTTCGTGTTTAATTAATATTTATTTAACGTTATAATTAAAATTTTAAAATTCAAAATACAGGTATATTAATTTTACATCTGTTTGTGACTAGTAGTTCATCTTACTTCACTACTATTTTCGGTTCTTTGTACATTTTACGAGATTGCTGTTCCTTTTTTAAAACTTATTATTTAAAGAATAGTTTTTTAATTATGTGTATCCTGTACATACATAGGTACATATAACTTGCACAACGGTCAGCACTGCTTCATGAGTACATTTGACATAAGAAGCCATCCTAGGATGACACTATCGATGTTGAGGGATTTAGGGGCGAGTAGTTTTCTGGGCCAATGTCGCTTGAAGAAAAGGTTATAAAAACATTAAAGGTACACAGTACATATTCTTAATCACCCAGGCATTAAGGCCTAAATGGCATATACTGTCAACTCCAGACCTGTCCTGTGGGTGCCTATATTGCCTAATAACTCTGGGAAAACACAACAACATTATTCTAAAGTGGGTTCTCGGACATGAGAACGAGATGAACTGGCTGACCACCTAGCTCACTCTTGGGACCAGAACCACTTATGCTTGAACTGGAAAAGTGGCTTGAGAAAGGAAAACTCAAAAGTGCTTAGTTGTGTAGAAAAAAAGTACACTTTACAAGATATGGTTGTAATTCATACGGATTTCACAATATATCTATATAGGTCGCAATGGCGGAAAGATTTTTTAAAACAAGATTATACCGCCCAAACCTAAAAACAGTTTAGAGTGGGATTAAAGGTTAGAGAGGAAGTTCAGAAAGCGAATGAATCAAGCATTAAACAAAAATAATGTTGAGGTCATTGTGGCTGTAGAAGTTATAGACTTAGTAGAAAGTTTGGAAAATTCTTCTGAGGACTTTTGATTGGAATGGGTTGGATGTTGGATAGCTTCATGGTACCCCAGTTTTGCTCTTTAGGTAGGTCGAAGTAATATTTTGTATTTGTTTGCCATAGTCCTGTCTGATTTTGATGACGTTTCTTAGTCAAGTCTTCAATTCGGTCGCTTCAGTCTCGTGACTTCACGTCAGTCTTTTTTTTTGTAGGCATAATCCTAAGTGTTTCACTTATATGGATATCGGTAATTCCATGTTGTTGGGTCTAGAGCAAGTCTGTTTTTTAACCAAAAAAATTAATTTGTGTGCTTTTTTTCTTATTCAGTTTCATTTTCGATTTTTTGCACCAATTTTAGCTCGAGGTGTTCCTGTATGCGATTACAGCGTTAGTATCAAAGTACAGTAGAATGATTATTTGGAGATCGTGAGATGCGGTCTGGTGTGACGTAGATTTTTGAAAAACATTTTCTTTATTGTGGCAACGTTTCGATCTTTATTGAGATCATCATCAGAGCCTGGGATTTATAAAAAAGATCGAAACGTTGGCACAATAAAGAAAATGTTT